TGGGGCTCCGGGGGCACGTGCTGCTGCCCCTCGTACTGCTGCACCAGCGCCCGCACGCTCCAGCACGGATTCTCAATCTCCTCGTCCACGCTGCTGCTCCTGGGGGTCACAGGCACAGAATGAGGGCAGCCTCACCTGAGTGCTGCTGGAAATCTTCTCTCCCAAAAAAAAGGAGGGAGGAGAGAGCCAGAAAAATGCAAATTTTCCCAACGGGGATCCCCATCTTCTTGGTGTTAAGGGAAAACAGGCAAACAGGCCTTGTTGTTTTAAACTCGTCCCTAATTCTGTGACTACAAAACTCCGAAAGCTCTGGGAATGCAAGGAAACATCACAAGGACTGGCTTTCCTGAAGAACCCCAAGGGAAACCTTTAACATTTTATTTTCCAGCCAAAGTTACCATCTCAGCCTCCTTTCCAGGCTGTTTCATGGGCGCTCCCTCGAGCCAGTACCAAATGGGAAATGACCTTCAGCCGTGTAAATGAAACCCTGCACAGCCCCAGCACCTGGCTCCCAGCTAAATGTCACTGCTATTATTGTTATTGTCACCCCCTCAGCACCTCTGGCAAGGGGAAAATGGGATTTTCAGCATTATTCCCTGTTTGTGTGTGGATTTTCAGCACCCCCAGGATTCAGCAGCCACCTGGAGAAGTGGCAAAGATACATTTATGTGGGAGTCCTTAAAATCAGAAGGTTTGGGAAAATTTCAAAAGGCCTTGGAGACAGCAGAACTGTGACTGGAGCTCAGCAGTACCCATGAGATTGGTCAGCAGAAAAATTAATTAAAAAGTAGAAAAGTTAGGACAAATAGAACAATGGTCTGTGTATTAATGCTTGGCTAGAATAACTCCCTAAACTACAAAAAAGTTTATCTAGTGAGATATTAGGGAGTTCTAACCTTAATAATGGAGCTCTGTGCATTGTGTTTTAAGGCTCACAAGCACACATTATATTTGAAATAAGCAAGCATTGTTTAACCAAAGGTACGTGTGCTTATAGTGCTTGGACAGAACTACTGTCACTGTGCTTTTGCTTTGTGTGATTGGTCAAAAAACTGATAAAGTGAGTTGTAACATTGAGTTCTTGGTCTGCTGCCAGGGATGTGAGCTGCTGGCATCTTCCCACTGTCATAACCATGGAATGAGACTGATGCTGGAAAATAAAACAGCTCGAGGCACGTTCCCAGGTGTTGGAACCCAGGGAATCCCTCTGGCTGCCCTGGAGGGCTCCAGCCCCTGCCCGGGGGGCTCAGAGACCTTGGCACGGAGCCCCAGACCCCCCTGTGCCTTCGATTGAGCCCTTGGAACAAACAATTACCAAACTTATATGAAGAATTACAAGTCAAGAGAGTTTAAGTAGAATAATAGTTAGTTTTTCACAGAGTGAAAAATAGATTTTTGAG